CCACGCGTTCCTCATGAGAGTGAAATAATAGTAGAAAAAACTCTGCAAGCATGCATGCTAAAAATGTTAGCACTGGCTATTACTCAGCGCTGGCCTTTAAACACGTCAGAGCACTAAATACACCAGGGGTCACAACCCAAAAGAGCCATTTTGTCCTGTCCCAACAAAAATCAAACCACCTTGGGAGCCACAACATTTCATGTCCGTTTTACCATCTTGGCTGTAAACATGTCTCAGTATGTGCTGATGTGCTAGTATAGGATAAAAAATATAACATAAACAAAAACACAGACTCACTTTGCTCTGCTTTAATCTTTAGCTCAGCTATAGTCGCTTTTCTCGCATCTCCAGCAGGAAACTTTTCCACAAAATAGAATAGTTTCTTGTAAAACGTCTCTCAACATTCGACTTTTTATGAGGATGAAGTCGCTTCTCATTCTCCAGCTTCTTGTTGAATTTTCCAGTTCCACCTTAAATGGTGCCTGAGGTGCCAGAATGTAATGGCAGCACCATTTAAGGTGGAATGGGACAATTCTAACTAGAAACTGATTTCGGTTTTGTGATTTTTAGTGTTTGACAGTTTCTCGTTTCAGATTAAACGTATCAGGAAACCAGCTGGAGTGATTATAAACGCAAATAAGTCCATTCATCTCTAAATTATCAATGTTCATCTTAAATCTCTCTCTTTGCTGTTTTGTTAGCTACTAGCTAGGTGAGATTGTTGTCTGTGTTGCTATGGTGACCAGCAGTCTGCGCTGATCTTCAGGGTTAAAGGGTGAATTAGCAGTTCTACATTAACTCCAGAGTTTAAGACCATTTATTGTTAAACTGTGTTGAACGATCAGCAGAGCTTTATTTTACTGTAAAGGAGGATTATTTTATTTTTACCTGCAAATCTGATTCAGCTGTGGAGCCACAACAGGAGCCACATGCAGCTCCGGAGCCTCGTGTTGCCGACCTCTGGTCTAAACCAAATTCATATTCTGTTTGTTGTAGCGTAATAATCTAACGACTGTGGAAAGTGACCACAGTCAGCTTTACTCTCTGGGGTCTTGATTTGTGCGTACATTCTTAAATGTGCCTTTAAAGGCTCTTGCATACGGCATGATACCCACGTTATATATCAAAATGTTCCGAACAATCTCAGCTCTCTCTGTAATGAGGCCTATTTGACCTGGAGCACTGGGTAAAGAGATAATTTAGCCCTAGGGCTCACAAAACGACAGTTTTAGAAATCTCTATATATCTTGTGAAAACCCAGCTTTACTCATGTGGACGAATTGTTTTGGTGCTTAAAATGGGTTTCCCAAAGTCTTAGTCTTAGTAGAGAAATGTGTGAATAAAATCACGGCTGTGCACTTCTTACACACTGTTTCACGTCTGTGCCCAAGGCTACTGAATGAAGAATGAAGGGTTTTTGAGGTCTTAATGATTTCCTGAGTCTCCACTGGTCAGTTTCAGGCAAAATACGGACAGACACATGAATCCACCAATTACAGACGAGAGGCAGATGATGAACACACGAATCCACCAGTTACACACAGCAAGAGGCAGATGGCGGGTGTCTAAACTGGTATTCAATGGCTCATAACTGTATTAGGGAACAATATTGACATAAAATGCTATGTTCAATAAAGCTGCTGGATATCATGATGACGATATAAGAAGCGATAAATCACTATTAAAATAAAGTGTCTATGAATGTAACCCAAGTGCAGGCATTTTTTTTGGGATCTGTAAACAGAAATCTAACTAATCATACTTTAAACAAATAGCAACATACAACATTAAAGAAATTGTCTCCTTTTCTCAGTGAGGTTTATGACAGTTACACATCCTTTCAGACCCATAGCGCTGAGTCGTCTTCTCACAGTGGAAGGATGGACAGAAACACCTGTGGATGTTTTCAGATCTGAAGCAGCTTGATTTTCTCCTCTCTCTCAGAGATGAAAGCTTTAAGTGCTGTTTATCTGATGGGGGCAGCTTTGGTGTCTACCAGGTCTTCCAGGTGGTTGTTAGGAGCCCCATTTTCTCTGTAGCTTTTAATCCGTTTTTGAAGACTTGTTTTTTTTCAACTTTTGACTTTCTCTGTACTTATACAAGTGGATCTTGTATCTAATCCCATCACAAATATCTCCTGAAAAATGAACCTGTACTTAATGTCTTCGGTCTCTGCCGAGCTCCGATCAACAGTTACCATTTCTTGATATCGGTTCTGTTGGCTGGACACATACCTGATTTGCTTTGCATAGTTGAGTTCGATCTCTGACCGCTCTTTGACAAATTTGGTGTAGCGCTCCACAAAGTCGATGCCCCACTGGGTATGCTTCTCCAAGTTCTCGAACTGATCCTGAAAAAAGAAAGAGAGAGAGAAAAAAAGAAAGAGAGAGCTTAGCGAACGGAACATGTCTAGAACACTCGCCGGAACTCTGAACAAGCCGTCTTTCAAAATCACGTGCCCACTCATGACGATCAGCCCTCTGATTGGTGATAAGCTACAACTTAAAAAATATTGTTCTTTAAGGGTTCTTTAGTAACAGAAATAGTTCTGTTTAGAACCATGAGTTCTATATAGAACCAGGTAAAGCTTTAACAGTTCTTTGCCTGGTGAAATCATTCTTGTGTATATGGTTCTACAGAGCACCAAAAAGGGCTCTGCTCTTGGTAAAAGCTTCACTTTATCACACAACAGAACCTTTTTGGTATTGGTTTGAACAACCATTTCACCATGCAAAGAGCCATTTAAGCTCGAAATGGTTCTATACAGAACTTATGGTTCTAAACAGAACCACTGCCTGTACTAAAGAACCCTTGAAGAAGCATCTTTTTTTAAGGGTGTAGTATTATAGCACCCAGTACCAGGTACCAGATTTGCCTAGTGGAAAACCAACGGTGAGTAGAGTTGAGTTGAGCCGACACCATGCAGTGAAAAAGCGGTTCTAGCTACCGTTACTAATGTAAAAAAAAGGTCAAACAAAACTAAAGTGTGATAAACTTTAAGCTGTGAATACTGTGAGAGCACCCCCTGGTGTTTAGCAGAGTGTTGCTGTTCTCCAGTTTCAGTCTCCATTTCCCAAACGCTTTAGCCGAGCGCACTAACGTTATTCCTCACTGTCATCGCACTAGTTATAGTGAACTATGCACGTTAACACAAGTTAACACACCTTTGTGCTTGTCCTAAAGTTATTAGGAGATTTAGTTCAGTTAGGATGTTTCTGTAATGCTGTTTTCTTATCAGGTGTTAATGATAAGATTATGAACTTAAGAACTGTTGTTCTGTAACAGCTAAATTCAGTCCTAACTGAAGTTGTCACGGTAACTAAACAGACTTAAGAAGTTTCTGTAAATGGCCCTGAACTCCAGTCCCTGGCTCTGGTGTGCCTCTCTACATGCCAGTGATGTTAACCATGACAACTCGTAGACTTCATCTCCGAATCCAAAGATTAGTCCGATTTTTGTCAAACTTTCCTCTTTCAGTAACAAAGCTGACCTCACACGTTCAAAACACACACACATGGTGCTGTTTGGTGGACGAGTCCCTCTCTGTGTAAATGTTTAACAGAGCGACAATGAAAGAATGCAGCTCAGATGAGGACGTGTGTAGGTGCGACCTCTTTTCTCCACGAGAAGAACTAGAAAATGTGACTAACTGCGACACACTTAAGAATTCTCCTAATTTAATTCTATTAATGATCCTATAAACTGTTTGAGGACTGAGATCTGACCCTTCACATTTACTTTCATTATTTATTGACTTAACCCTTTGAGTGGTCAGGGCCCAAAGTTATACACACTTCTATAAACTAATAATAGTTCAGCCAGTTTGTACTGAAGTCTCAGGTGCTGAGTATTGAGCCTCAGTATGTAATAAGCCTGGGATTTTAAGAGGTTAATGATTCTTCAGGTTTTATTTGAACTCAAAATGAGCTACTTAAGTTTTCTGCCTCAGGAAAAACTGAAATAAGCAGCTCAAATTCCTTTAAACGTTGTTCATTTGGTGTGCCATGGGGTATTTTCTTCACTTTTAGATGAAGAACTATTTCAGAAATAGCAGGTTCTAACTATGGTTGTTCCATAGGAGGTGGACAATGATGAATATGCTATCTTTAAATCACAGCACTGAATCCCACAGTTTTCCGCTATAAAATGTCCTGCTTTATCATCATCATCATCATCATCACATTTATTTATATAGCGCCTTTTCCATTTATAGAGTCACTTAGCTAGCCTAGGAAGAGTCCTTAGCTGCGGGGGAAATTCTCACATCATGCACCTAACATCTCACATCTCGCACCGTGATCCACAACAGTGCATCACACAAGAGGCCGGCCTGGGAAGCCTTGAAGGCCTAAAACATCCGAAGGGGTAACATTTTCCTGCAGTCAAACACCACCAGTCCAGGTAGCCTCATAGCTGCAATGCAGCGACACCCAGGCAGCCGCCCCAGGCAGCCACATAGCTGCGATGTAGCGTCGCTTAGGCAGCCAGCACAAAAGGCTTTGTAGCTGCAGTGTAGCACTGCTAACGCAGCCAAACACTCCAAGTCCAGGCTGCCCCACATCTGCAGTGCAGTGTCAACCAAGCAGCCGGCCCAGGCTGCAATGTCACGTCTATCAGGTCCTCGATCCAGAGAGTCTCGTAGCAGTAATACAAGCCGTGACTCAAGCGGCCGGTCCAGGATGCATCATAGTTGAGATGTAGCATCACCCAAACAACCAGCCCAAGAAGCCTCCATAAAGCACCAGCCATATTGCGCCAGCGTCCTTACAGCAGAATGCACAGTTAGGGCTGGGTAATATGATAATATATATCTTTATCGTCACAATGCGCTTTTCAAAGCATATCATGGAAATCATCAGTACTTGCAAACACTTCCCAACTTCAGCCCCTCCCACAGCCGAGCCACAAATGTTTTTTCCAAAATGTACGGAGTATCGTCCATCTCTAGTCTGAGTTCAGTTCTACTTTGCTGAATAGTTTGCACATACAGACACAACCAACACTGGTGCAGCACCAAACCAACGCATCTAATTTAACCTGCAGCGTATTTAAAACCCAAAGCACCAAATTCTGCTTCACTCATTTCTCACACACATACACACACAAACCTGCTGCAGGCCTCTTACCCCATACACACTCGCATTCTCACAGACCTACAGCTAGCCCCATTCTGTCAGTGAGAATTACAACACTCCTCAAATCCAGCTCCCCTCATTCACTCTCACACTCACAGGTGTGTCTAAAGGTGCGTGTACAGCCAGGCCCGCACTGCAAGTTTAGAAATCTATTTTTTTCCAATTTTCTTCCCGATTTAGACGTATCCAATTCCACCTACTACTCTGTTAGAAATAAAGGTTCATTTTTCATTCATCAATGTAAATGTTCCCTCAGAGGCACAACAGTGGTTTTAAGGCCCAACTGTGTACCTTAATGAAGTGTTTCTCAGGTGAAAAGTTCATATTTGTACCTTTTCATAACAGAATGTTTTAAAACAGAACAATAAAATAAAAGTCCTGGAGACGAGACGGGGTGTGTGGAGTCAGTACATCTTAGAAAATATCATTTCAGTAGATTATGGTTCAGTTATGTTCCCTGACTAAAGGTACTGAGATGGACCCTTGATGGTTCCACCCCAGTGACAATAATATGCCTAATAAACAGCCATTTGGGATTCATCTGTGTCCACTATTCCAAACTAGACAAACTACATTGTATTACATAGTATTAACATAATCTGGATTTATTTCTATAAAGTTTTATATTAGAGAGGAATATAATCTGGGGTTATTTCTATAGATTTTTATAGTAGGGATTTCTACAACCTGGATTTATTTCTATAACCTTTTATTGTAGAGGTGAATCTACCCTTGAGTTATTTCTATAAAGCTTTACAGTAGGGATTAATATAATCTGGGATTGTTTCTATAAATGTCTGTTAGTAGGGATTACTATAACATGGGTTTATTTCTATAAAGTTTTATATTAGAGATTAATATAATCTGAGGTTATTTCTATAAAGTTCTATGGTAGAGATTAATATAACATGGGATTATTTTTATAAAGTTTTACAGCACAAGATCAATATAATCTTGGATAATTTTGAAAAGTTTTATAGCATGGAATTAATATAATCTGGGATCATTTCTATAAAGTTTTATAGCACAGGATTAATATAATCTGGGGTTATTTTTACAAAGTTTTATCGTATGGATTAATACAACCTGGGCTTGTAAACAGTTTTATAGCAGGTTGAAGCCTCTGAGATCCTTACTGATGTGGAAGCTCACAGTCTATAAAAATGAATGATATGGCAGATTTGACTGGAACTAAAATGACGTTACCCTACATCCCCAAGCAAAAACAAGCAGACAAAAATATGTCTTATGTCTAAAAACAGCATTCTTTTATGCACAGTGCTAACTGGTGGGGTATTAGCCTCCATCACTTGTTAGCTACATTAGGTATCAAACATGTCTCGGCAACTGGCATACAGGAAAACCATAAAAGTCTGCTTCTTTGCCAAATTACCACTTTAATTTCCTGTTCTGCTCTTTTCAGAAGGTAGCTGAAAATGCATAACGAGGCCTGCTCCTTACTAACCAGCGATCCACTGCAGTCTGACCTGAAACGCAGCTATAAGAGCTGGTTTACTGTGTGGAACAGGGGAAAATGAATAATTCATAAAGCTACTGTGTACTTGACAAACAGATACATCACCAGTTATTGACACAGGGAGAGATGAACAGAGATGAAGAGAGATGAAGAGACAGGGGGACGACGGTGTACATGATAGACAAACAAAGACACAGCAGTGGAAAGAGAGAGAGAGAGAGATACAGAAAGAGTCCGAGAGAATAAAAATGTCCTATTCATTCTAATCAGTAGGGATACATCGATATGGAAATTATGGCTGATGTTAATATCGTCGCTGTCCAAAGAAAAACAAGTATCTCCAAAATAGTAACTTTACAGGAGAAGACAAAAACACTCTTACTTTTCAATTTAAGTCAATGTAAAGAGATTTTATTCTAAGTGATTTTGGAGCATTTCTATTAGTCCATTCATCATGAAATTTTCATATAGTGTAAAGGATCACTGGTGTGTTGAAACAATGTAGAAAAATAAAAATCGACAAAAATGGAGACACAGTGGTTTTCTTTGGACAGCGATGACATAATACTTTTTTATGTACATTTCTATCAATATCGATACATGAATATTTATAAAATGTAGAAACTGTTATTAGCACTGAACAGAAATATAACATTTATTTCTATAGATGAATTAGGGGTGGGCAATATTTCAAAAATATGATATTGTGATACTTCAAAATAATTTAGTGCAATATTG